CACACACACACACACACACACACACACACACACACACACACACACACGATAATAGGATTGGATTTTTGGCCAGTGCTCTTGCATGAAGAGCCATAACCATGAACTGACAGTGCTAAGGAGGTTTATTTGGGAGGGTACTAGCTGAAGAAGACTTAGAATAACATAGGAAAGAGGGTTAAGTGTCTGGAAGGGACACTGCCCCTCAGCTCTTAGAAACATTACGGATGAAAAAAAAAAAAGAAAGAAACAATGGGATGCAGAGGTCAGCTGTTGAAGGGTTTAATGAGCAAGGATGTTGTTGAGAGTGTGTAAGGAGCTCTAGAGCTGCCAGTTTAAAAGGAGCATCCTCAGCTGCCCATTCAGTACGCTTCTGGCACCCTGTCCATTATGTCTCATGCAGGATCCCCTTAGGTAAGGTAAGTGTATTGCCCACAGCTTCCTCCTTCGGCAGAAGGCTTCCACCAGCATTTCCAGGCCTGAAGGACAATGACACATTTCAGTAGAATGCTCACATGCACCTTTCTGTCTTGTCTGAGAGAGCAGAGCCTGTGTTGCACGTGTAGCACCTATTACTCTCTAGTTTACTGCTCTGTACAGGCCGTGCTGGTAGGACAGTTGAATCCATTTGGAAACACGCCCTACTGCCCAGCCGTGAACCCTGGGACAGTGATGGTCCCTGACTGTGTGAGCTGCTGCTAAATCAGGAAGTGCCTTTCTTGGAAAGCAGGTCTTTTGAAACTCATCTGGCATCCTGTTCCACCTCCAATGCAATGAAAATAGAAAAATAATTATCAAGTAGGCAGCCAAATATCTTCTGTGTTTGTACATGTAAATCTGGAAGAAGAGGACACCAATCTTGACAGGCAGAATCACAAGCTGCTCATTGTTTTCCTTCCATTATTTGATTTTTCTCTCTTGTTAAAGCATGATTCATTGCAAACTAGTAGGTGTCATTCTTGGAGGAACTGAACAAGCCATAAGTCAGGCATTGCTGTCTTGTCCATGATAGGTATTAGAAAGAGCGATCAAGAGCTAGAGCGATCAAGAGCTCGTTCATACATCATTACTATCAGAGCTACCAAGGAATAACAAGCTTCTCTGCTGACCAATTCGGAATAGGAGGAAATCACAGCTCCATGTGAGCATGTATATGAATGTATGAATGGAGAAGATGTCTTTTCTCATATGTGTGCAATACTGAATTGACTATTACAGAATAGTATGCAACACATGTTAATCAATTATGAGAGCTAGCCACTGTGATGGAAGAATTATGTTACATCTTACAGAATGATGACTGTGCAGTTGGCTGCTCCAAGAAGAGACTCTCCCTGTCAATACATGTGAGTGATGAGAGGATGCAAAGCAACCTGCATCAGAGGTCAGTTGGCCATGTAAAGTCAGACAGTCACTATCTGAAGGAAGTATCATAATCTACTCTACACTAATGCCCAAAGCCCCTACATGAAAATGTAGTTGTCTAAAATGGCTTAATCTGGGTGCTGTTACTCCAGTAGCAGAATCATGGGACTAGGCATTAAAGACATGAAAGAAATCTAATTTTTCAAGTTTATACAATTCTTACTAGAATTGAATCCATGAAAAAAAAATCATTTGCAAGCAAATGACCACCTTGCATAATGCTTGCCGAAAGAAGAGTTTGCATGACTGGGCGTGCAGCATATGTGAACTGCAGTGCTGCTCTGGACTGAACCT